TTGAAATGATATCTTCAATCCCTGGCATAGTACTCATTTAATTTTAGTGGGGTTTTTTTTTAGATGAAAATAAAATCTGAAAGCAAAAGAGACCCATTAAAGATTTTAAAAAGACAAGTGTCTGAATTAGAACAATTTTCAGAAACATTTAAGACTCCTAAAAGATGATAAGCTTCAAGGTCTGGGTTGTTTCCATCTTTGGCTCATCTCCCACTCCTACCTCAGTACTTATAAGTAGTAGACACTCAATATATAATTTTGAATTCAATTGATTTGAATCAAGTAATTTCTCCAGCAAAGTGCCCACAGGGCCCTTTGGTATAACATTATCTTCAGGCAGAGCTCCAGAAAAGCAGTATTTAGTGGAAGAGACTTCCTTACCATAGGGCCCAAAGTCAGTCCTATCTTTATTTCACATGTGCAGGACTCTGGAAGTTGAAATAGAAAATTCCAGGTCCAGCTCTGTTGCAAAGAAAGCTGAATTCTACTACAGCATATCAAGATTCACTAACATGCCCACAGACCCACAATCACAGAAGTCTTTAACAAAAATCCATTCTATGTAGCTGGTACACACTGTGTTTCAAATTTTGGTTGGCTGTTTGAAGAATGTCTTCAGTACCTAACACATAATAACCACTTAACACATATGTGTTGAATGGATGAATAGTAACAGTTGAAAACAGAGCTTAAGACTGTTCTAAGAACAATTGAAAAGCAAATATCTAGTGTTACACCAGAACCAGATCTGGGACTGTTTTCAATTTGAAGAATCATCAAGCAAACTGACTCAAAAGCAAGTACTCAGGCCATACATCCAAAACAACAAACAAAACAAACATCCAAAACAACAACAAACAAAAGTAAAGGATATATGTGTATAGTTACAAAGTAGTGCAAAAGATCTTAAGATGAAAAGTGACTACTTCTTTCTCTTTTTCTTTCTCTCTTTCTTTCTTTCTTTCTTTCTTTCTTTCTTTCTTTCTTTCTTTCTTTCTTTCTTTCTTTCTTCTCTCTCTCTCTCTCTCTCTCTCTCTCTCCTCACCCGAGGACATTTTTCCATTTTTTGTTCAGATAGAGTGGGAGGGAGAGAGAGGAAGAGAGAGAGAGAGAGAAACATCGACGTGAAAGGGACACATCGAGTGGCTGCCTCCCGTACGACCAGCCAGCGCCAGGGACAAACTGCAACCGAGGTACGCGCCCTTAGCGGGAACCGAACCCAGGTCTCTCTGGACCATAGGCCGATGCTCTAACCGCTGAGCAAAACTAGCCAGGGCTCTCTCTCTTTTTCAAAAAATATTTTTATTGATTTTTAGAAAGAGAGGAAGGGAGAAGTAGAGTTAGAAACATCGATGTGAGAGAGAACCATCAATGGGCTGCCTCCTGCCCACCTGCTACTGGGGATCAAGCCTATAGCCCTGGCATGTGCCCTGACCAGGAATCATGCCCTGACTGGGAATCGAACCAGGGACCTCTTGGTGCATGGGTCCATGCTCAGCCATCGAACCACACCAGCCAGGCAAAAAGTAAGCACTTCTTGATTTTCTTCCCCACCTTCACTCCCACTGCCTCAGATGGGTACAAGTTTCCAAATAGAAAACTTCTTTCAAAAAATCTTGTGACATGATACCTATTTTCAGCTTTATCCATTTTCTCTAACTATGAAATTACTGATCTGATTAAGAAGAATTATAACATTGAGTTAATTTTCAAATGGTAGGGAGAGTTTACAAAGAAACTTCGACTGTTTCAGCCTTGGTGGCCAAAGCAGATGTGCTTGTCATTCATTACTCAGTACAGAGCCAATATTCTCTTTAATAGCAAAAAGACCATAATATTTATTTATATGTAAACATTATTGAGCATTATGTGCAATCATTCTAAGCACTCACTTACAAATATGACCTCAATTTACTTGTCACAATTTATGAAGTGTGTACTATTATTATCCCCATTTTTCAGAGGAAAGAGAAAACTGAGACTGGGCTAGTTTAAATAACTTATTTTGAGTCACGTAGAAGACAGTAAACAGTGGCACTTGAACACAAATTGCTTGATGAAAATCTGAAAATGTCTCAGACACAACTCTGAATCCCATTTGTCAGACTTCTGACAGAAGGTCTAGTCTTTTTCAAGGTATACTACCACCATCAGTTAAGAAAGGCTGTGGTTAAAATATCTAAAGGATATCTGGGGAAATGATGACAACTCTTGAAAAGAAGCTTTCCTGTAGTGCCGCAGTTGGCAGCCACTTTTCCTCATAAGGTTCCACCATTTTGCCCAGTGAGAACCTTTCCTAATGGAGGACAAACACTGACAATTAGTAACAAGTAAAGAGCAACTTCAATCAATAAATAACCTATAAGCACAGCCATCGTAGGATATTTTAGTAGCTTATATGGTTAGCATAATGCAGTTGCTTAAAATAATGATCCCGAAGATCTGTGAGACATGGGCAAATGTTTATACGACATTCCTGGAAACAGTGAAATAGATTATAGCTCTGATGCAGCTATATCAATACTTCTTGTGAACAAAAATGTAAGGAGAGAAGCAAAAGAAATTGTGGTCCCTGGTTTAGGGACTGTAATTAGGTGTGATTCTCCCACCTCCCCACCTTCCAAAATTTCTTTTGACTAAAAAAAGAAACTTGAACACAACCAATAAAGCATTATTATACAAAAATGGGCTCTGGCCTCAATAGAGTAGGAGTGGGGAGAAACTGGAGAATGACCTTTGGATCAAGTTTATCAGGGATCTCTAGAAAGTCCCTCTGCAATGCTCCCCATCTAGTTAGAACTTTATCTTAGAAACCAAGGTTTATTTTCTCTTCGAATTCTGAAATTTTTGCTCTTGCATTAAAAAATAATTCTGTGAGCCTGGCCAGTGTGGCTCAGTGGTTGAGTGTCAACTCATGCACCAAAAGGTCACCAGTTCAATTCCCATTCAGGGCACATGCCTGGGTTGTGGGCCAAATCCCCAGTGGGGGCATGCAGGAGGTGGTGGATTAATGTTGATGATTCTCTCTCATCAATGTTTCTATCACTCTCTCCCTCTCATTTCCTCTCTCAGTAAAATCAATAAAGGAAAAATACTTTTTTAAAATTATAATTGTGTGAGTGTTTTAATTATCATTTACTGCATTTGGAAATGAGTTGGTCAAATCACTTTGGTCTAGGGCAGTCCCTTTGATCTTCAAAATCTACCCAGCCTTTCAGACATAGCATGTCTCTTTTCACAGGGTCAGCAGCTTCCGCTGAAACCTGCATTACAGCATCTGCTGTTTGGGGCCATTTCAAGATTCCAAATTTTAGTCTCAGGGTCCAATGCCCCGGCAAACCTGTGCCTAGTCTCGGCTGAACTGCCTGGGACGCCCGCGTGCAGCGCTGGGCTCAGGCAGCGGACGCGGTGCGCCGGGGGCCGGATGCGACTGGGCCTGGAGCCGCGCGTCAGCCCTGCTCGGCCGCCTTCGCAGCGTCGCCCGCGCTGACTCAGCTCTTCCGGTCGCCGACAGCGTGGTTCCAGCCGCCCTGAAGGTGCCGGCGAGCGTCACGGCTCACTAAGGCTGTGTTCCTGCCCCGCGGTGACTCAGCCGCTTCCGCCGCGGCCCGCGGAGCACCCGCCGCCACCGCGACGCGCCTACTTCTGCCCTTAGGTGCCGGTCTGGAAGGTCCTGAAAGGGACTGACAGCGTCTAAAGGGTCCCTGAACTCCAGTGCTTGCCTAGGACCTGCGAGGCCCTTCTTAAATGGAGGAGTTGAAGTCTCAGTTTGGGAAAATACTCCTCACCCCGCAGTGCAGAGAGTGGGTATAGACCGAGCAGCTGGGGCCTGGGGCAGCCCGGGGTCCTTAGAGCCCCACCATTTCCGTTGAAAACTCAGTACCTGCCACTCGCCAGGTGTGTGACCCCCAGAGAGTCTCCTAATCTGACCAAATCTCACTTTGCTCAGGGGTGAAATGGGGGTAATTCCATACCCACCTTGGTGTTGCTGGTACAGCCTAGGAAATCAAAGAACACAGCAAATCTCAGTTTTTGTTATTACTTCTTTTGAGATACCTTGTAGGTGTAGTTCTTCCTCTCCACTGTAACCATCATGTACTTCCTAACACCTCAATGCAGGGTCACCGCAGTGAGTTCCTAACTGGTTTAGCCGCATTCCCATCTCTCACACAATGACCTGGTACATTTTTATTGTACACTATGTTCTTCAAGCCATTGTGCTGCTCAAGAAAGTGTAACACCTCCCTCTTGTCTTTTGGTTTGAGTTCTTTTTCTGGTATTTAAAGCACTACAGCAAAGTCTGGCTCATTCAAACCTCCATCTCTCCCATAAATAATTTATGCCAACTCTTCATCTTACATTGTGGTACATAGATTTCTGCCCTCTGGGAGCTGGAGGTAGGGGTGGGGAGATGCCAGGGAGATTAACTCATAAGCACATAATTATAATACTGTGTAATACATGCTCTAAGTATGAACAGGAGAGGGAACAACGAAGTAAATAGAGTGGGAAGACGAATGGGGGATGGGTGGCTTTACAGATGAGTAAGTGTGTCCTGGTTGGTGTAGAACCTGGAGGCCATGTGTACTCTGGACTGTTACTGTTACAGAACACATGAAACATCTGTCCTTTTCCCTTGATTTTCTTGGATCCAGACGTACTATGGGAGATAAAAGTTGGATTTAAAAATTAATGTCACCTGATGAAACACAGATTGTAGGAAGGACTAATGGATTCCTTAAGGGAAAAGTCCCATACTGAGGAAGAAGTTCCCATTGGCCACAGGGCCTGAGTATTAGGGAAGACAATGTTTGTGAGGATTCTATAAAGCTGCATTTGAACCTGCCCAGATCAGTCCCAGGAAAGAGAAGGATGTGTACTAAAATGGAAACACTGATTCACCAGGGGCCCATGTACTCTTCTGGGTAGCATACTGAAAGAATTGAATGATTATGAACCCAGCACACACTGCTGCAGGGTCCCTACTAAAAAGAGTTTTGGTACTGGCTTCAGCAACACATATACTAAAACCAGAATGATACAGAGAAGATTAGCATGGCCCCTGTGCAAGGGTGACATGCAAATTCATGAAGCGTTCCATATTTTAAAAAAAAAAAAAAAAAAAAAAAGAGCTGTGCGTGGGAAAGGGACAGGCCTACTGACCATAGAGAGATGGATATTAGAGGTCTGCAAATTGACAGGGACAGATTCAAGAAAGCAGTAGCAGAGAGTGGATGCTCCATGGGGGCTTAGGGGTCAAGGACACCTCAGTGACACTCTGCAGATGGCTCAGGTAGCAATGACATGAGTATCTGGAGAGGGGACAGGGGTGACAAGAGCAGTCGTTCAAACAGGGACTGTGATTACAATTTATTTCAATTTCTTTTTATGTTTCTGAATCAAATAGACTTTCCATTGTGAACATGTTTTACTTTTCTTTTTGTTTTTATCCTCACCCGAGGACATTTTTCCATTTTTTGTTCAGGTAGAGTGGGAGGGAGAGAGAGGAACAGAGAGAGAGAGAAACATCGATGTGAAAGGAACACATCGAGTGGCTGCCACCCACACAACCGACCAGGGCCGGGGACAAACTGCAACCGAGGTACGTGCCCTTAGCGGGAACCGAACCCGGGTCTCTCCAGACCGCAGGCCGACGCTCTAACCGCTGAACCAAACCGGCCAGGGCACATGTTTTACTTTTAATACCAGAAAAGAAAACACTTTTTTAAAGTCATTACCCAGAGTTGGTGCAGATGAAGTAAAATGGGCTTCTTATTCACTAGAGTTTTACAAGAAAGAGTCAGATTACATTTTTTGACTCGCCTATGAAAATTATTCATATTGATCTCAAATATTAGTTATTGATGTAATCCAAAATTATGATCTAACTACTGTGGGAGGATGGGTGAGAAGTGGGGTTGGATATGTGGTGCATTTGTAAGAGTGCTACATCCTCATCTGCTGCAATAGAGCCTGTTTAACGCAGATACATGAGGACATAATAGCATAAACACATTATTTTGAATTATGAAGCAACAGTAAAAAGAGGAAAATGGTTGTCTTTGGGCTATGAAGAGGAATGAGGCAGAAGACTACTGTTTTTCACTACATTTTTTAGTGATATTGAAATATTAAAATATTTTTCAATATTTTAATGAATTTTTTCTTTCTTTTTTTTTTTTTTTAATCCTCATCCGAGGACATTTTTCCATTTTTTGTACAGACAGAGTGGGAGGGAGAGAGAGGAAGAGAGAGAGAGGGAAACATCGATGTGAAAGGGACACATCGAGTGGCTGCCACTTGCACGACCAACCAGGGCCGGGGACAAACTGCAACCGAAATACGTGCCCTTAGCGGGAACTGAACCCGGGTCTCTCCGGACCGCAGGCAGATGCTCTAACCGCTGAGCCAAACCGGCCAGGGCTTAATGAATATTTTCAATGAAATATTTAAAAACCTCGTTTTTATATGGGTAAAAGTAAAAGCATACACACCTCTTGTCCTAGTAATTTCATTTCTAAGTATATATTCTAGTGATAATTACAAATGTGGGCAAAGATTTATACACAATAGTAATTACAAGATTATTTACTTAGAAGCAAAAACTGGCAATGATATAAATGTCTAACAATGTAATCATTTTTAAAAACTGTGGTGCATCCACATGAAACTTAAAATCACATTTTTGAGAATTATTTTACTTCATAGTACAATGCTAATGTATTTTTATTTTATTTATTTATTTATGTATTTAGTGCATTTTGTTAATCCTCACTTGAGGGTATTTTTCCATTAATTTTTTTAGATAGAGAGGAAGGGACAGAAAGGAAGAGAGAGAGAAACATCGATGTGAGAGACACACATTGACTGGTTGCCTCCTGCATGACCCCAACCGGGGCCAAGGACGGAATTTGCAACCCAGGTACATGCCCTTGACTAGGAATTGAACCCAAGACCCTTTGGTCCTAGGCCAGCACTCTAACCACTGAGCAACACCAGTCAGGGCTACAATGCTAATTTTAAAATAAGTGAAAATAAAAACAGAATGTCAAAATACATATATTCATAGTAAACACAGTAGAAGGAAGTACTTCAGAATGGTTATGGTGTTTACCTCTGAGAATTAGGATGACAGAGTTAAGAGTGCGGCTGGTGTGGCTCAGTGATTGAGTGTCAACCCAGGCACTCAAAAGGTCACCTGTTCGATTCCCAGTTGTGGGCCCAGTCCCCAGTGGGGGGCATGCAGGAGGTGGCCAGTCAATGTTCTTGCTCATTGATGTTTCTATCTCTCTCTGCTTCTCTCTTCTCTCTCTAAAAGTCAATAAAGAAAAGAAAAGAAAGAGTGTGCCAGTTGGATTCTCTAGGAAGCAAATGATAAATTGCAGTTAGGAATAAAAAAAGTGTGGGCAGTTAGATCTATAAAAAAAGGGGGATGAAGCAGGATTGGGCAGATGGAGTGTTCAGACATGATATAAAATCTCTGCCATCTCAATAGGGAGTTTTGGACTTCCGGTGAAGACGGCGGCGTAGGTAAATGTGGTATCACGTCCTCCCACAACCACATCAAAGTTACAACTAAACTACAGAACAACCATCATTCAAAACTTCCTGAAATCATCCTGAATGGAAGTCCTACAACTATGAAATTAAAGCAGCAGCCACATCCAGGGTGGAGGGGCGGAGGTGCGAGGGCTGGTGGTGAGGCCGACTGGTCCCACACCCACGTGTGGCGGATAAAAATCAGGAGGACACCTCAGCTGGGAAGGTCCTTCTTGAGGACTGAGGGGTCCCTGTCCCACACTAGGTGCCCCGCTCAGGGTTCCAGTGCCAGGAAGAGAAGTCCCCATAACTTCTGGCTGGAAAAACCAGCAGGAACTGAGGCTCAGGAAAGCTGAAGCGGGCTGGAGCCCCAGGCAGCTCCTTAAAGGGCCCCCGCACGAACTTATTGGACTCTCTCCCTCTAAGCTTGGAGGGGAGACAGCTCGAGGGGCACCAGAGACATACAGGGAAGAACTGAGCTGTTTGGCACTGGAGCGAGGGCTGGAGAGGGGGCTTTCTCCGGGACAAACGTGCTGTCAGAGGCCTTTGTTCCTTTGGTGAACCCTTCCCTAGGGCAGCAGACAGCCACCATACCTGGGACTCCAGCAACCTGGCTCACACTGGTAGCCCCGCCCTGATGACTCCCTGAGGCCACGCTCCACCCAACTTTCAGGCCCACCCAAGCTGTTGCCACTTGCTTAACCATAGGATTGGCCTGTCTTGGATCCTGCTTCAGGTTTTTCCTAAGTTTTCTTTCAAACGAGCAGCATCTGGTCTCAGCTAGCCCCATACCGCTCATTAAGTAATACAAAGAAACAAACACAGGGAGGTAGCCAAAATGAGGAGACAAAGAAACAGGTCCCAAATGAAAGAACAGAACAAAACCCCAAGAAAAGAACTAAGCGAAATGGAGATAAGCAATCTAACAGATGCTGAGTTCAAAATACTGCTTATAAGGATGCTCAATGAACTCAGTGAGGGCCTCAAGAGCATAAAAAAAGACCAGTCAGGCAGGCCCTGGCCGGTTTGGCTCAGCGGTTAGAGCGTCGACCTGCGGTCCTGAGAGACCCGGGTTCGGTTGCCGCTAAGGGCGCATAACTCGGTTGCAGTTTGTCCCCGGCCCTGGTCGGTCGTGCGGGTGGCAGCCACTCGATGTGTTCCTTTCACATCGATGTTTCTCTCTCTCTCTCTGTTCCTCTCTCTCCCTCCCACTCTACCTGAACAAAAAAATGGGAAAATGTCCTCCCGTGAGGATAAAAAAAAAAAAAAGACCAGTCAGAAATTATGGATGCACAGTCAGAATTGAAGGAGGCATTAACTGAAATAAAGAATAATTTATACAGATTCAATAGTAGAGTACGTAAATCCAAGAAGCAAACCATCGATTTGGAATATAAGGAAGCAAAAAACGCCCAATCAGAAGAGCAAAAAGAAAAAAGAATCCAAAAAAATGAGGATAGTGTAAGGAGCCTCTGGGACAACTTCAAGCGTGCCAACATTCGCATCTTGGGGGTGCCAGAAGGAGAAGAGAGAGAACAAGAAATTGAAAACCTCTTTGAAACAATAATGGTAGAAAACTTTCCTAAATTGGTGAAGGAAACAGACATACAAGTCCAGGAAGCACACAGAGTCCCAAACAAGATGAACCCCAAGAGGCCCACACCAAGACACATCATAATCAAAATGCAAAAGGTTCAAGACAAAGAGAGAATCTTAAAAGCAGCAAGAGAAAAGCAGTTAGTTACCTACAAGGGAGTTCCCATAAGGCTGTCAGCTGATTTCTCAAAAGAAACTTTGCAGGCCAGAAGGGAGTGGCAAGAAATATTCAGAGTGATGAAAAGCAAGAACCTACAACCAAGATTACTCTATCCTGCAAAGCTGTCATTTAGAATCGATGGCCATATAAAGAATTTCCCAGACAAGAAAAAGCTAAAGGAGTTCATCACCACCAAACCGTTATTATATGAAATGGTGAAGGGTCTTTTTGAAGAAAAAGATAAAATATATGAACAAACAAAGTGGCAATGAATACATATCTATCAACAATGGAATCTACAAACAAAATGAACAGGTAGAACAGAAACATTCTCATAGATACAGAGAACATTTGGTTGGTTGCCAGATGGGAAGGGGTTGGGGGAATGGGTGAAAAAGGTGAAGGGATTAAGAAGTACAGATTCATTGCTAGACTGACAAACCTCAAAGGGAAAGGGGTTGGGGGTGGGGTGGAAAGAAATAAACCAAAGAACTTATATGCATATCCAATGGACTCAGACAATAGTGTGGGGAAAGGCGGGTGGGGGTCGGGAGTGGGGAGGAGGGGGTCAATGGGGGAAAAATGTGGAACATCTGTAATACATTCTACATTCAACAATAAAGATTAAAACAAACAAACAAACAAACAAAAAAAACAGGGAGTTTTGGAGCAAAGATTCCTTATTGGAGGAGTACAGGTGGGAATAACCAGGCCTTTGTACCACCTTTCACAGTCATTGCCTTGGGCAACTCTGAGAAGAGAGTGACTTTGGCTGAAAAGGTGAGGATGACCAAGAGGTTAATTGAAGAAGA